TAAAACAGCCGAAACTAGTTATCATGAGATATGATTACTGGACAGTGTCAAGGTAGAACAAATATACATAATTATTCCATAACAATATACTAATTCTGGAGCTGAATTAAATTAGTAGGCTAACTCCTGTATAATGGTGAGCATGTGAATTTGTTAATAATCCAGCAGGCACAACTGTGACAAACAACTTTTGCGAGGGAACGCAAAAAGTATTGCGAGGTAATACAATACTACTGAGTGGGAATTCAAGAGAAAAAAGTCCCAGACATAATCTGGGACATGACGGATTCAGATTATTAAAATCATGAGAAAAACAAACGCTGAATATGAGAATGTTTTTGCTAAACAGTTCAATAAAACCTTTAGCTGAATAAACCAAAGCCAAACAAAGAACAAAGCCACCAAATTGTTTATCTTTAATGAGCTGACAGCTGAACTGACTTTTTTTTCTACCCTAAAATGATCTCTATGCTGCTTGTTTGGGGTCACACCAGTTTAGTAGGAGGTACTTGGCTCAGAATAGATTGTGTTCAGAATACAAAACACAAGTATGAAAGTGGTCCAGACCATCTCTAAMGGTCTGGACCACATTTTAAAAGCACAATGAAAGAGTTTAGACCTATGTTTAATACCATTCAATTTCAATCTGATAACTAAAAAACATCTTCAGCGACAGGTCTGAACAATATCTATGTGGCAACCTGTCTGGGCTGGCCTTGTGTACTTTGACCACTGGAAGTAGGCATCAGATACCTGCAACTTTGAACAAAAAAGTCAGTAAAGAATATAAATTGGTGAGATTCTGTGGTCCTCGTGCCGAGTAAAACTGACCACCGACAACCCAAGTYGATCCAGATTAACCGACGTTAGCTTGCCAAAACATGCTTACTCACTCAGCAGCACAGCTGTGTTGTTATTGTTTTACAAGGTTGAATAAACAGAGACCTAACCCATTCTGCCATGTGGTAGATGAGATTAGCCACCATGCTGTTCAAGCCAGGGGAACAAGCTGCGTACTCTCAGAATGTTACAGTAGCCTAAGGCGCTCAGTGAGAGTGACAGTATTCTTGTAGGTCAGACTCTGAGATCTGAACAAGTGTCTCAAATATGACCTAACTGACCAGCCTCTGCGGCATGCAAGCAAGAAAACAATAAAAACTGTTAGCACCGTTCACCCATTCATCCAGACACGACTCATCTCTCCTGCTCCAAAAGTGAACATCATGGTKTTATTTATAGATGACCCTGCTGCCACATTTGATACGTTAGTCACAGGGGAGGGCAGGCGCACACATACATCAAAACGGGGAGTGGCTAAAAACTGTACATTATAGGGCTAATTATTTGATAATCATTAATGAAATTCTTGTTTTTTTCACATCTTAAAACTCAAGTGAATATCTCTGTGTAATCACAAGATAATAGTATCACATGGTGTATGTGAAAGAGTAAATTTGTTTGCATTTGTCCATATATTATTATACCCTTGCATTACTTGCCTACYTTCTATTGATCATAGGAACAAATTCTGTACATTTTGAATTTGCTTCACTGCTGCTAAATTTGTCTGGATTTGCGAGTCAAACAAATAGACATTAAATTAAACCAGGGGTGTCAAATTAGTTTTCAGTGAAGACCGTGTGTGCGTTGTGGTGGCCCTCCAAGGCCCACTTAATTAACTTTGATGTTTCCTGTTTAATTTTGACAAAACAAAAAACATCCTGCTCCTCGTCTCGTCGCTATCCCTGAGCACTGCTAACAAACAATAACGGAGCCCTATGTGGTATTTCCTGCATAGAAGCAGTGTTTTGACACGGTCACTAAAAAAAAGTACTTTGACTAAATGTGAAATAAATAACACAGAAATACWATTAAAAGTAAAAATGTTTTACTCAGAGTTGGGGTGAGTCTTGAATTCTAAACGTTGTTGCATTTAATCATAAATTTAAAGTTTATCATAATTATATTCATATTGGTTTAGATTTGTGTCCTTATTCTGCACATCTAAAGGTGTTCAGAGRTTTGTCGTAGATGGAACTTCATCCTTGTGTACGTGTAGAGGATTAGATCCTTTTACATGTTTATCCCATAAATGGACCGCTGCTAAAGATTTTTTTTTCTTGAGGTCTTAAATGTGTCTGCTGGTCAGCGGAGTGAATCAGGGCASAGCAGATGAGTAATTAGCTGGTGTTCTTGTGTGGGGGGGGATTACCATATGAATGGTGACAATGGGGAGTGGGATCAGCACTCACCCATTCTTCACTGGGCTGCAGCTGAGCATCAACGYAATTGGCCCTTTGCAGCCAATTTCACGGATTCAGCTAAAGTCACACCAGAAGTTGCTGTACTTAAGTCTGCGTGCAACAGCTTTTAAGCTTGACTGACTTCATTTATTCACTTTCAGCGGTGGAATTTTGTTGCCAGGCAATAAACCATCAAGGCTCACATGGCATTTGTTGCTTGGCAACAACAGCAAT